GGAGCTGATTCCAGCAAAGATGGTTGAGGGACGAGGTGAAAGTGGACGGCCGAGCCATCCGCAATCCCAGCTGTGATTTCTCGCACCACCGCGCTTCCATCCACCCGATGAACGGCCCACTTGTTCATCCACCCCCTGGATGGCCCAGTTCGCCCCCTCCAACAGTAGCGGCCCGCGTGGAAAGACCACATGGCTGTCATGAGAATTCGCAAGAACGCGCGCGCATGTGTTTGCGTGCGCTGAAAACTTGCGCTGCGAGACCATGCGTTTTCTATAGGTTGCTTGGGCACTTGATTTGGGCATATTAGCTAAACGCCAGGTTTGTCCCTGCCCACGCTCTGCCCAGTAGGGCTCTTACTCTCTAGCGCAAAGGGGCCGGGCAGTGCAAATCGCCCCGGGCGGTTCCCCCAGCCCCCTGGGAGCGGTCCCCCCAGTTCCCTGGGAGCTTTAGCTCTAGCTTTAGCTTAGCTTTAGCTTAGCATTAGTTTAGCTATAGCCTACTTAGCATTAGCTTAGCTTTAGCTTAGCTTTAACTTAGCTTTCGCTTAGCTTTCGCCTAGCTTTAGCTTAGCTTTAGCTTAGCTTTAGCTTAGCTTTAGCTTTAGCTTAGCTTTAGCCTAGCTTTAGCTTAGCTTTAGCTGCAGCGCAGTTTTAGCTTAGCTTTACCTTAGCTTTACATTAACTTTAGCTTAGCTTTAGCTTAGTTTTACGTGAGGTTTAGCTCAGCTTTAGCTCAGCTTTAGCTTCGCTTTAGCTTCGCTTTAGCTTAGCCTTAGCTTAGCTTTAGCTTAGCTTTAGCTCTATCTTAGCTCTAGCTTAGCTTTGGCTTAACTTTAGCTTAGCTTTAGCTTAGCTTCAGCTTAGCTCTAGCTTAGCTGTAGCCTAGCTTGAGCTTAGCTTTGCTCTTGCTACTAATGCTGCTTTCCTGGGGGCTCCAACTCCTAGACAAGGTCGCACTGGGATAATATAAAAACTTCCGGCCTGCGCGCGCGAAGACGCGCTCGCGCGCACTTCGCCCCGGCTTGTGCAAAGGGTTCCTGGAAACTCATGCGAATTGTCATTTACGCGCGCGCATCAGTTTTGGTTCCTTTCTTTTTTTGCACGGGGCAACGGGGGGCGTCGATGCAGGCAGGGCTTGGTTGGCACGAACTCGTATGCAAGATGGGCGACAGGGCAGAACCACATGTAAAGCGCAATGCCAAAAGGAGCACCGATAATTCCGGAGGGAAGGGGGGGTACAATCTCAGTCCTTGTAAGAAAGGAAAATTCATTTGGGTTTGCAAAGAATTGGCCACTCCACTGCTCGCGCAATCATCCCACCCACCCACCCGCAACTTGGTTTGCGAAACCCATGCGGTGACGGTTGCGATGACCGCTTGGCGTTAGCTGGTGCATCTCTGGGGCCGCGCTAGCCCGCGCATGCTCCCGCGCGCAGCGGCCCGCTAGTTCGGCGCGACCGACGCGGCCGCGGCGCGGCGGCGCTGGCCGCTGGGCACATCCCAGCGGGCGTTTCAGTGCGAGTCGGCGACTTGGGCGGGCGCGGTACTATGGCAACGTCGACAAGGGTTGACGCGATGATGATGGTAGCGATGCTGGCGACGATGGTGAATGACAACGTGACAACGAGGAAGGCAAGGCCAATAACGGCGCCAATGCTGATCACGCCAAAGACGCCGACGACGATGACGGCGTCCTCGCGTCGCCGATGATGGTTTTGGAAGGAGTTCGACATGCTCGCGCGGCCGACGCGCGAGAATGGCCCGCATCGTTATTTGACACGGATCGCGCACCCCCCCAACACGCTCGCAAGGGCCTTCGAATGAGCTCGCCATGCGGCACGAAGGGCTCAATTGATCGAAGCTCATGAACAGGCCCAAAAAAAAAAATTGTTTTAATACTTCGCACGAGAGCGAGCGCAGGCATGCGTGCAAACAATTGTTGCCAAGCCATATGGTTTTACATGTGATCGTGGCTCCCGGTTCTGACATGCATACGAAACCAAAGGTGTTCGAACGAGTCCGGCATGCGAGCGCGACGACGCGCGCGCGTGCACATCATCGCATATGTTGCAAAGGATTTGTGGGGACTTATGACTATTGATAAACGATTGCGCGCGCATACTTCTTCCCGGGGATGATGGGGGGGCACGATACCAGCGTGGCTGGTATGGTATGAGTTCATGTTTAGGATGGACGAATGAACAGAATCATATGTGACTTGCAAAAAGCAAAGGGGAACGATTAAACAACGGATACCGGTCCGAATACTCGTATAGAAAGGAGAATCTACGCAGTGCACTCTATCAACCGCAATCTACGTTGTGCAATCTATGGCGGCGGCGAGGAGGCGACGGGGCGGCGACGGCCGACAGGGCGGCCAAGACGACGGGCGGCGACGAGGCGGCAAAAGGGGGGCGGCGACGGCAACATAGCCGCCAGACCGACAGGCAGTCCCAGACGATGGGCGGCGACGAGGCGGCGACGGGGCGACGACAGCGGCAACGCAGCCGCCACACCGACAGACATGCCCAGACGACGGGCAGTGACCAGGCGGGGCCATTTCTGTTACTATTCCTCGCCATCGCTCGGACGTCCATTTTTTGTGTTTGTTTCGGTTTCGTGCGTGGTTTTTTCGCCAAATGGTCAAGAATGTTCCTCGATGGCCCTCGCCGAAGGAAAAATGCACACGTCCGAGCGATGCCAAGATTCGTGTCACCTCGAAGAAGCACACCGAGAAGCATGCAAGCCCCCTGGACGCCCATGTCGAGGCTGTTCGAGCAGGGCGGGCCATCGAAGGTTGGAAGGCTCTAATTACACATCCTTCTCTTTGATTACAGTCGGGGCGTTGACCTAAGGAACACCAAATGAGGAACGAGGCCCCTTTTCCCATCAGTTAAACTTCGATTCCCCATCGAATACTTCAGGACAACCTAAGGCAACCTGCGAAACAAGTAGGGCGCCCCGACTGTATGACTGTGCGTGTGATGCTTCTCGCCGGAGCCCAGGCCGTGACGCGCAGAGCCCCGTGTTTGGCTAGGGACAGCAAGAAGCAGCCACAACCGCATCGAGGACACACCCTGGGGGATGCCTTACGCGTGCCAAACATCGCCAGACGACCGAAAGCAGTTTCAACCTGATTCGGGTCGAGGTGGCGCCCAAGGACGGCCAGATCGACCACAACCACAACCAAAGTGTTGATGTCGAGGTTGGTGGGTTCTCACCCGAGGGGCCCTCCCCAAAAAATCAACTTTGTTGTGGAGGTGGTTCTTTGTTGTGTCAGGATGTTTTGCAAGCCCTACTGCGGGCGACTTAGGAGAAGCCGCTCGGCCTGGCCCTCGGCCTGGCAACGCTTGGGCCCCCTCGGGGGCCTCTCGGAGGGCTCCTTGGAGCTTCGGACAAGATGTGTGAAAGGCTCCGGCATGGGGCCACAGCAGAGCGGTCCAGAGGATCGCATCGCACCGCCGATGCTTCGGCGAGACAAATTCAGATGATGAGACACCAGGAATTTCCGACAACTCGCTGGTCTGAGGGATGCACAGTGCACCGCGGCCGTTCCAGAGCGTTCCGACGCACCCTGAGAGCGATCCAGAATGCTCTGGAGCGATTTATCCTCATGCAGGGACTGCCTGACGATGCAGCCCTAGACATCGGGCGTCTCGACCTTTTCGAGAAGCGGGCCCCCGATCTCTCGACCGTTTCCCCGTGGCCAGTTTCTCATCTCGAGTCGCTGATTGACGGTCCCGAGTCGCAGCCTATTTAGGGCGGCCTTGGAAGATTCTCGGGTTTTCTGGGACCTCGGGGGGCCGCCGGGAGGGCGCCCTGGGGCGGCGGGTGGGTCCGTCGAAGACAAGGGAGGGGCGGGCCCCAGGCCCCAGGGCCGGGATCTCCCATAGATGTAGATGTATGTGAGTGCATGTATGGACGTATCAATGCATACATGTACACACTTGTGTGTATATGCACCTATATATATATATATATGTATATATATATATACATATATATACATATATATGTGTATTTATATATATGTATGTATATGTGTACATGTATGTGTTTACGTAAACATATACATACACATATATACAAACATACATCCATATGCATACGTGTAGATGTATACATGATAGACATACATGCGTATTCATATATGCATGTATACATATAAGGCCCAGGGAGATCGGTTCCTCACGCGACGAACGTGCCAAAAACATCCCAGCCTCTGACTCCTGACGGTAACGGCGCGGGCCAGTGGCCCTTGCCGCCGCGTGGGACGCGGGGCGCGACTCCGTGGACAGGGGTCCCTCGAGGGCTCTCGGGGGGGGCCGCTACTTGGGCGTCCCGCGCCCCGCGGCTGTAAGACAAAGCGCATACAACACAAGAAAACTGCCGCGAGCTTCTGATGACGAGCCGGGCGAAAGCAGACAGCGGCGGCAGCGGCAGGGGCAGCAACGGCGGCGGTATTGGCGGCAACGACGGCAGCGGCGACGACACGGCAGCGGCAGCCGCGCCCGCGGCGGCGACGGCGTGGGGCGGCAGCGGCGGCGGCGATGACAGAGGGTGGCTGCAGCGGTTTACCAGCCTCGAACTTATCCCTATCCCCAAGATCGGCACGCCAAAAAGCGATGACAATCTCAGGGATACGCCCTCAAACAATACGGGAATCCTTAAGATTGGCATCGTGATGAGGACATGCCCAGCATAGGGATAGGGATATGCTCCAGGCTGGTAAGCGGAGAGGGTGGAGGCACTGGCGGCGGCGACGGCGGGGGCGGCAGCGGCGGCGACAGCAGCGGCACCGGCGGCGAAAGCGGCGGCGGTAGCGGAAGCGGCGTCGGCGGCGACGGAGGGTGGCTGCAGCGGCGGCGAAGGCGGCGGCGAGTGCAGCGGCACCAGCGGCGGCGACGGCGGGGGCGGCAGCGGCGGCGCAGGCGGCGAAGGTGGCGGCACCGGGGGCGAAGGCGGCAGCGGCGGCGAGGGCGGCGGGAGCAGCACGCAGGCCTGCGCCCTCCAGGTCGGCGTCGAGCCTCCGCGCCGCCCACCGCAGCGCCGCCCCGAGGGGCCTGCTGCCGCCGTTTCCGAGCAGCCGCGCTAGGCGGCGGGGCACCTGGCCGACGCCCGCCACCGCCGCCACCGTCGTGTTCTTGTGGCCGTCGCCGTCGTTGCTGCCGTCGCCGTCGCCGTCGCCCACTGCCGACGCTGTGTCCCTCGCCGTCGCCGTCGCTGCCGTTGTTGCCGTCGCCGCCGCTGCCGTTGCATTCGTCGCCGCCCGCTGTCGTCGTTTTCGTCGCCGCCGCCGTTGCCGTCGACGTCACTGTTGCCGTTGCCGTCGCCGTCGATGTTTCCGTCGCCATCGCCGCCGCCGCCGTCGTTTTCGTTTTCGCCCTCCCGTCGTCGTCGATCGAACAAGCATGGGGGAGGAGGAGAAAGAGTGGAGAGGAGGCGGGAGGGGGAGGGGGAAACGAGAAAACGAGGCCTCGCGAAGCCGTCCTGGTCGCAGACACCACGCGGCGGGGGGGGCCCCCGAGAGCCCCGACAAACCTCACAGGAGGCCGACGCGGAGGGATTCCAGCGTGACGGGGCCCCTGCCCCTGGGCAGCTCCAGGCCGAACGGGGAACAGATCCGCCGAAGCCGCTGAACAGGTTCGCGCGATGCGGCGCTCGCCCAGCCATGGTGCTGGGGACCTCGCGACAAACTCGACGAAGCAAAAAGAAACCAAAACGCATGGAAACATGGAAGTCGCAGGCCCAAGTAGAGACCGCGCCGCAGTCAGTGGTGCACATGGACGGGCCGTTTCGGGCCCCGGCGACAATCGCGCTACACTCTGGGGGCAGGGCCCACCCCCAGCAGCGGCGGCCCGAGGGAATCCCACGCACGCACCACAGCTATGTTTCAAAAGAACCACCAAAGGCAACCGACGTCAATATTTGAACTTGGCCATTTCGGGTCTCGGCGAAAATCACGCTACAGACTGGGGGCTGCGACTGCCCAGCAGCGGCGCGACGCGGGAAACCCACGCACCGCGCAAAGGCAATATCCCAAGAGAACCACCAAAGGTGCAATATGTCCATGATCGAGCTTCGCTGAGCCCCCTCTGCGTCGCGACCGCAGCATCAGCGAGAGACCGCCATCAATCGGAAAGTGTTACACAATGCCAACAGCGAAACCTTTCTGCCCCCGCAAGCGCTTCAGCGAAAGGGCTTGCCACCGGCGCGTCGCACTGGGAGCCCCCCGCGAGCTCGGCGATGTCCTCCGCCCTCAGCATGCCCAATCTGGCAGGCAGACAGACGCGGGGCGCGGAGAGAAAGATTGCAGGCAGCAGCCTGTTTCCTGAACGTCATTTTCCGCACGAGCTCTGCGTATGAAAGACGCGCCACTGCGCAGCATGACCACGATGCGCGATGCAACTGATGCTGTCGAGGCTGCCAGGAACTCGCCCTTGGGGTGCTCGCCCGAGACAGCCGGCCCCAGGCAAACTAACCTGAGGGCCCGCTGCAGGACCAAGCCGACGAGCGCAACAGCTTCTTGGCGCGTTGCAGCTCAACCGCGTGGAACTCCTCGCGCACGCCCGACACTGCGCGGCAACCCCCACCTACAATCGCCAACAAGTCGGCCCGCATGTTGCCCAGGACGAGGACGAGGTCAAGCTGAATGTCCTGGTGGTCCTCGAAGTTCTCGCGCGCCGGAACCCGCGTGACACGCGGCCTTGTCGCACGAGCACCCAATGCCCTCCAAAACGCGGCAATCGCCGCGGCCGCCGTCTCCAACTCTGCGCCCCGAGATGCCGCCTCCGTCTTAAAAGCCAGCAGGTCTGCGGAGACGCACCTCAGGCTGGGACAAGAGAGCATCTCCGCCATCAGCAGCGCATACCTCTCCGATCTGCCCGCCGCTTGCATAGACCGAGGAGGCGGGCCGCACGCAGCTCGCGTCGCGACGCCTTGCCAGGATAGATGCTCGGCCGACCGACCATGGGGCCGTAGCTCGAGGAAAGAGCAGCTGGCCCACAGCCGTGGGCGAATGCTGCAGCGCCAGACTCGAGGGCGCCCGATGACCAGTCGCCCCACCGATGCACAGGTGAGTCGCGCCATGCCCGCGAGATGGTCGGCGGCGCGCACGGCGTGCGCTGTGCTAGAAGTCGCTCCAGCGCGGCTCGCCCAATCTCTCCATATTATTGCCCCTCGCGCATGCGTAGATGCACTCGAAGAAGTCCCGCCCTTGACCCCCGCCTGATCCACGAGTCCGAACACCACTTCGCAGCCGAATTGGCGATGCCCAAGTATCCCGAGCCGCATCGCACGCCGGCAAACTGAACTTAGCTGGTCCAGGGAACTCCTGCAAAGTGAGCCCTTACGCTCTAATGCTGGACGCACGCGGACCCTCTGCCGCAGTCGCCTCTGGCGCGCCACGCACAGCCGCAGCGCGCGCGACCCGAGCATCACACGCTCGCCGCTCGGGCGTAGGAACCTGAGCACGATGCGCTTGCGCTGCCACCTCGACGGGGCCGACTGGGACACGCCGCAAATCCTTCGGACTGACGCTCGCCAAAATGAACTTCTCTCCGTGAACTGGCATCGAGCAGCGGCGAAAGGGTGCGCCCATCAATCGATTCGCCAGCGCAAAGATCACCGCCGAGATTGGCCGTCCTGCAGCACTCCGCGCCAGTGTCCCCTGCGCCATAAATCTCAGTTGACATGTCCACGCGCGCGCGATGTAGACGGCTGAGCGCGGGCCGCTTGCCCCCGCGCCCACGCCGCGCACTTGCGCGCATCTGCGCACCAAGTCGCAACGTAGATGGAGCCGAAATGGGGGAAGACCGCGACGCCGAGAGGTGCAGCGCGAGGCTCGACGGGCCCCGCCTGCATCCAGAAAGACGTCCAGCATCCGCCCTGAGGGCGCTGGGCCGCTGGTCGGCGAGCCCTGCAACTCCGGCCCCACGCCCCGCGCAAGGCCGCGGCCCTGTCTCCCGCGTGGCAACCCCGCGACACCGATCAGCATCCACACAGATTCTCTGCGCAACTACGGTGACTGCCTACTCTTCCCTGTGCCGCGCAAGTCGCGGCCGCGATTCCTGGCCCACCGCTCGCGCGGGGGCCCGCGAGAACCCCCGAACCCATCGAGCGCAGCGGCCACCGCAACCCCAGAAGGCACATGCCCAGCCTGGCTCGCCAGGACGATGCTGCCGAACTGCTTCGCCCCCTGAAAAATACGATCACCGCCCAGAAGTGTCGCGGCTACTTCAGGGACGCGCCAAACCACTGCAGGCCGACGTCGCCCACCAGCTCCCCCGGCGACACCGACGGCGACCTCGCCAATATTGGGGCAGGCGCAGCAGCGCCGTAACAGTGCAACAAGAACGCAAGCAACTGGCCCGAATGCTTTGCATCGCTGCGACGCCCTCGCCGAGCGGCCCGAACGCTCGCAGCCGCCTCGGCTGGCAGCGCAACCCCCTCAACATTCAGAGAAGTCATAGATCCACATCAACAGTATTGCCTGTGAGAGAAGGGCTCATGGCTGCGCAGTGCCGAAAAACTTGCGCGCGCCCATCGTGGCCGAGAGGGCGCGCTCACTGCGCGCTTCTGCGGCGCCCCCTCTCCAAGCGCAGGCTGGAACGCGGGGCCCGGCGACGCGGGCCCATGCCCGACCCCCGCATGACCTGGCCCGGGCGCCCCAGGACCCGCCGCTTAGAAATCGGCACCCTGACTCGCGACCATTCACGCGGCGGCGCTGCCCATGAGCGCGACGACCCTGCATCCCCCGCTTGCCCTCTGCAATCTGACCATCCCGCGGAAAAATCGCTCGCCGGGCCACGCCAACCGAGCCCCCCCCCCCCCAGCACTCCGACAAGGCCCCCAGCGCGCCCGGGCCATGACCCGAGGGCTGCAGCAGCGCCCGCGCCTGCGCCCTGCATGGGCCCACGGCTGTCTCCGCGCAGATCGACGCCAGAGAGCGCCTCATCACGCCAACTGCGATGATCTGAGGGGGGCCGCCGCGAAGCCGCATCACCTGGCACCTCGAGCCTCTCCAACCCACGACGCTGCCAGATTGCAGGGGGCCGTCTCGCGATCAGAGGCCCAGTGGACAAGCACTACAGCCCCCGATCCTGCCAAGCCGACAACGCCGTCTGCTGCCCCTGCCGCCCCGTAGCCCCGCGCGCCAGGCCGGCCCCGCGTTGGATTCTGCCGCGCGCGAGCTTCAGTCAGAACGCCTGCCGCGCAGCCGCCGCCCTGCCGCGCCGCCGCCCGCTGCTCTCGGCGATCCTGCCAGCGACCTGAACGGACCGCCCCTTGCAGATATCTCGTCGCCGCCATCAATTTGTTCTAGCCCGGCGCCCTCGCGGCCCAGGGTGCGCAGACCGCGGTGGCCGGCGACCGCTGACAGACTCGAACAGCGACCAGAGTTAGGAGGCAGCTGGACGCATGGGTGGACAGAGCCGCACCAGCAGCAAGGACCCCTCCCGACAAAAGGGCGAAATCAAAAAAAAGGGAGCACCAGGGGCTCGCGCGCGGCACGCACCAGGGCCCGCCAAAGGCAGGGCAGCCTAGCGAAGGCAGCCCGGAGAGCCGACTAGCCCTTATGAGAACCAGAAACACAGGCAGGCTTGGAGGCCGCCGCAGGCCCCTCGCACTGCGGGCCGCCAACCCGCGAAGCCCGGCCGCTCGACCGAGCTGCAGCGCGGCGGCGCCGGGTCGCAGCCGCCCTGCGCCTCTCGCGAGCACCCCGCCTTTAAAAACGCAGATGGCGGGGGGGGGGCATGCAAGGGGGCGGTTTCACCGCCCCCCCCCCCCGCCCCGCGGGCAGCAGCAGGCCCCGCCCCCCCATCAAGATCCGCCTGCGCCCCCCCGGCTGCACCAAAAAAGCCCAAACGCAACGCGGGCATCCACCGCCACGGCTCTCTGCCTGGGGCTCGGATGTCGGCCCTTCCTGAACCGTTCTCTCCTGGCGTGCTCGGCGCCGCGAGAAGGGCTGCCGCTGCAAAGCTCACCCAGCCCGTCCATCCGAGCTTCGGCACTGCGAAACCTGCACTTCATGCCGGCGAAAAGATGGCCCCCGCCCGCGCGCTGGAACGCGAGCACGCAATGCCGAAGTCTGAGGAGCGCCCCTTCACC